CCTAGTTTTCACAGCTGATATTGAGCTTCTCCAGCGGTTCCTTCCACAGATGTAGTCGATCTGATTCCTATGCATACCATCAGGTGAAGTCCATTAGTGACAACATAATTAACAATTCCCCTGAAGGAACAAGGCCCCAGGAATTGACAGCATGCCAACTGACATATTTCAACAAACAGATGTTACCTTGGATGTGCTCACCAAGTTGGGCCAAGAAATCTGAAGGACAACTACCTGGCCAACTGACTGGAAGATATTTATTCCTATCTAAAAAAAGAGGTGATCCAACAGAGTATGGAAATTATCAAACAATATAATATCATATACAAGCAAAATCCTCCTGAAGATTATCCAAAAACTACTGGAAAAATACATTAACAGAGAACTACCAGAAATACAACCTGGATTTAAAAGAGGCTGTGGCACTAGAGATATTATCGCCAATGTCAGATGGATCCTGGCTAAAAGCAAAGAGTACCAGAGGAATGTCTATTTGTGATTCATTGACTATGCAAAGACATTTGACTGTGTAGGTCACAACATACTGTGGCTAACCATGAGAAGAATGGGAATCCCAGAACACCTGATTGTGCTCATATGAACCCTCTACTTGGACCAGGAGGCAGTTGTCAGAACAGAGCAAGGAAACACTGCATGGTTCAAAATTAGGCAAGGAGTGTGTCAGGGAAGCATCCTGTCTTCATCTTTTCAATCTGTATGCAGAACAGATCATTTGGGAGGCTGGATTTTATGAAAAGGAATGTGGCATCAGGATTGGAAGAAGACTCATCAACAACCTGCTTTACACAGATGATATTAGCTTGCTTGCTGAAACTGAGGACTTGAAGTGTTTGCTGCAAAAAGTCAAGGATTGCAGTCTTCAATATGGATTGAATTTTAATATCAAGAAAACAAAGATTTGTACCACTGGGCCAACTGGCAGCACCATGACAGATGGAGGCTGTTAACAATTTCCGTTTGCTTGACTCTACAATCAACACTCTTGTCACCACAAGTCAGGAAATCAAAAGACATTGCACTGGGGAAGTCTGCTGTCAGAGACCTCTCCAAAGTGCTAAAGAGTAATGATGTCAGTCTAGAGAATGAGGTGTACCTGACCCTGTCAGTGGTCTTTGCAATCACTTGCTATGCATCAGAGAGCTGGACAATGACTAAGAATGACAGAAGAAGAACTGATGCCTTTGAGTTGTGGTGCTGGAAAAGAGTATTGAACATATCATGGACCAGTAGGAGAACAAATAGTTCTGTCTTGGAAAGGGTAAAATCAAGTTTCTCGTAGGAGGCTAGGAAGCTTCATCTCACATACTTTGGGCATGTTGCCAGGAGGGACCAGTCCTTGGAGAAGAGCATCATGCTTGGAAGGGTGGGAGGACAGACAGCATAGGAGAGGAAGACCCCAGATGAGATGGATTGACACAGTAACTGGGGCAATAGGGGCAGGTGTCTTGGAGTCAGTGAGACTGGCTCAGAAAAGGGCAGGGTTCAGAGCTATTGTACATAGGGTCACTATGAGTCAGAGGCGACTCAATGGCTCATAACAACAACAAAATTAATCACAATGTCTGATTGAACCCTTGTTATTGCCTTTCTATTCATTCAATTTAGTGTCTATTATCTATTAATTTTCACTCTCTTCTCCTTCCTTTTTCATCTTTGGTAATCACTGGGGAAAACTTCTAAATCAAGATAAGCCTGGGCAAAATTCAATCTGCCAATAGTTTTTTTACTCCTTAAAGACCAAAATTCTTGCCACTGGGGAATGGCTTGAAGAGGTCGTAGTAAGTTGCTGCTTAAGTGCTCGAGTTATGAGAAAGATCACTTGAGGTATGAAACACCACTAAAGAATTTTGCTCTGAAGAATATTACTAAACATGGCACTTATTCCTCCAACCGTGCAGTCACATGAACCAGAAAAAAATTAAAAAACAAAACAATAAACTTTGGAGCTGAAAAAAGAAAACGGTTTAAAATATGAAAATAATAACATTTCAACCTTTCTAATTTATCACTCTGCGCTGCAATCCCAAGCACACATGGTTTGAATCCACCAGATGCTCCATGGGAGAAAGATGGGCAATATTCTCCCATGCAA